CTTGCACTCCCCTTCGTTAACTTCTTTGCCCCTGCAAAAAGTGAATTGATATCGAATACGAGAAGTCACCCAATCAATCAATATCTAAGCTTCCAATTCCAATAAGTATTCATTACTTTCGCATGCGACTGTAAATCGTGAAATAAAACTAGAACATTTTGCTTAGCCACACATTTGATCAAGTTGAGAGCTGCAGTAAAAGTTTAGCTGGGCACAGTTCGGGGTAGGTGGAGGGCAGAAGGCGGGGTCGGGCCATCAGAACAGGTGCTGCCCGAGGGGCTCTGGCTGCAGCGAGCTCCCCTCTCAATCTGCCGTGAAGATAAAAAGCAGCTAAACAAAACAAAATACTTGTTTGCCAAGGCTTTAACGTAAAATGTAACATGCGGCGCTTTTCATCAACTCGTTTCGTTTTTCCTTTTTTGCCCATTTTCCTCCTCTATTTTTTCTCATTTTTGTTGTTTTTTTTTGCTTCTTTTAAGCATTTTCTTTTCGGGGTGTATTGCAAATTTTAAACGCATGAATAGTCAGTTAGATCCCCCGAGGGCTCCATGTGGGTTTATCTACAAGATACAGCTGGGTGGCTGATAGCAGAGAGAGAGAGTAAGCAAGAGGAAGATAGAGAACAGGGCGGGGGCAAGGAAAGAGAGTGGGCTGTGGGTCAGAGAGAATGCCCAGGCATATCCGCTGGCAGATGTTTTTCACACACAGCAACCAGTTACACTTGAACACCCTGTAAAAAGCGAGCGCAGAACAGCAAGAGTGTTGGTTGAATAGTTTTAAGATCTGGCTATGAAGGAAGGAAGGAAGAGTATTTGATGTTAATTGCAGCGAAGTGGAGAACAAATAATATGATTTATCAGACTAAACCATATCTGAGTCAACATTTTGAAGAATTCATATTAAATAAATATTATTCATTAAATAAACAAGACAGTATATATGATTTGATTATTAATATTATTATTGAATATAAATTACTTTGAGTTTTAAGTGAAAACTGCGGGTGCATTTGATGCATATTGCATAAGGTATTAATAAAATATTGTACATAATAAAATATA